AGGGAGAGAGGGAGAGAGAGAGAGGATCTCATGCTGACTCCAGGATGATTGTAGAGCCCGTTGCAGGGCTCAATCCCTCAATGCCAAGATCACAGCCTGAGCCAAGATTAGGAGTTGGACGCCCAAAGACTGAACCAGGTGCCCCAGGGAGCTTTATTATTATTATTATTTTATTTTTATTTACTTATTTTTAAAGATTTTATTCATTTGAGAGACAGTGTGTGAGCAAGAGAGCACAAGCAGGGGGAGCAGCCGTGGGAGAGGGAGAAGCAGACTCCCCACTGAGCAGGGAGCCCGATGTGGGGCTCGGTGCCAGGACCCTAGGATCATGACCTGAGCCAAAGACAGACCCTTACCTAACTGAGCCACCCAGACACCCCCCAGGGAACTTTTTTTTTTTTTTTTAGCTGAAGCCACTTGAAAAATAGCGGATGGGAGAGGGGCTGTTCGTGAACCCTCCTTGTATCCTCAATGCAGATCCTTCTAGCAGGCTCATTGGTTGTAGACCCCCCCCTTCCCAATGCCTCACCAACCAAGGAAGACTGACTCCTGTCACAGGACAGAAGACTAGAAGTAATGCTGTAGGAAAGACGTTAGGGTTCGAAGCTGATGGTCAAGAAAGAATTCTTGAGCTGTCTTTGGCAGAAAAAGGTGATTTTATTAAAGCACGGGGACAGGACCTGTGGGTAGAAAGAGCTGCCATGGGGTCACGAAGAGTGGCCCATTGTATACTTTCCAGTTGGGAGGGGGTTAGGAATTAAGTCTGTAAGAAGGTTACCAGGACCTGGAGAAAAGGTCATTTCATACTGTCTAATGAAACCTTACTCATGAGACCCTTCAGTTGTATATCCGTGGCCCATATGCTTGGGGGGGTGACTGCCAACATATATCTTGGGGGTTTAGAGATAAAGGAAATTTCTAAAGGAATTTTTATATGTTAAACTAGACTTACAGGATCCTGGGCTGAGGTTTGGAGCAGGGGAGAAGGTGGTTTGGGCTCAGACTGTCTTTTGCCCTTACCCTTAGCTAAGTATCAGCATCAAGGCAGCTGAGTCCCTAGAAGAAAGTCACTCTGCCTGTTTCAAGGACTTGTCAATGGGCTGCAGGTAGTAAGGAAATTTAATAATTTTTCTTCTGCCTTTGTTTCCCACATCAGTAAGACACTAAGCTGACACAAACTGTCACTATCCTACCCCCTATCTCTTCTATTCATTTTTCCTAAAAACCATTGGCTCCCCATTGAGAGGCCTAAATTCCCCTTCTCCTTCCCTATAAGATAGTATTTATGCCTAAATTCTAAAACCACCTCTGAATTATTCTTTCCCTTGGGTATCTCCTATGTATACATGAAATATACATGTTAATAAACTTCTGGGTGGTTTTTTTTTCCTCTCTCTCTTGATAATCTTTCATTACAGGGTCTCAGCTAAGAACTCAGAGGGTAAAGGGAAAGTTATTTCCATCCCCACAGTATACCTAACACGATGAACTGTCTGCTTAAAAATGGTTAAGATGGTAAATTTTGTCGTGTGTCTGTTTTGCCACAGCTTAAAAACAACGAATTAAGGACAAAACAAATCTCCTGTAGACTAACTTCTCAATCTTCCTAAAGCAGGCAAATTTGAGGACTGAAGCTACAGGCTGATTTCCTGCCTGGTGGGGGATGAAACTGGTTATTTTTAACACGGAGCGCACAGTGCAAATGCATTCATGTAAACAGGGAAAAGAAAGAGTCCTTCGGGCTTTTCTTCCCCCATAAACTGCACAAACCTTTGACTACCTTTTATGGTTATATAACCAATGACAAAGCAAGGCAAACGTTACCGAGCCAGCTCTTGGTTTCACTCTTTCTCTTGGGGGCGGGGAATGTTTGCTGATTCTGGTGCCCTTGGACTTTCTCATGACGCGGAGTTAAGTTCCAGATATGGTCGTGACCTTCAGGGGAACCGAATCCCGCGGGGAAGGAAGAAAGGCAGGCAGATAAACGAGGACCGGTTCATCGGCAAAATTCCCCCCGCCCTACAGCAGCCCAACGCCCAGGCCCTTTGTGAGCTCAGCCCATCACGTGCTCACCCCTGCCCGCCAATCCCGCCGTGTTACTGGGCCTCTGTCGCTTTTGCATTGGTGGCCCTCTGAAGCAATCTCTTGTGGGGCACTTGCAAAGGCCGGATCTGTGGGTGGAAGGAACTGAAAATGGATCCAGTGACTCACCCTGGATCTCGCACATTCTAGCACATTACATTCTAGGTCAGGGGATTTTAAGTTTCAGGGACGTGAGTTGATATCCAATTCCTGGGTCCAAGTGGGACATGTAGGTTTTGGGAGGCCTTCTTGGCAAACAGAAAAGCAGTTGTAATGAGGACAACAAAATTCCCCTGTAGGGCAGGGTTGCTCAACCTCCTTGGTGTTACTGACATTTGGGGCTTGGGTGATTGTGTCCTAGGGGACCTGCAGCAGCATCTCCGGGGCCTCTATTACCAAATGCCGGTGGCACTTCCTCCTCCCTGCTAACACTATGGTTGGGACAACCAAAAATGGTCTCCAGACATGGTCAAATGTCCACTGAGGGGCCAAGTCACTCCTGCTTGAGAATCACCTGCTTGAGAATCTAGGGAAACACCAGACATCTGTCTCATTTTCTCTTCCCCTCCCTGTCACCCCAGTGCCCTTGCACAAATGTTTACTTCTATTTGCTCTCACACAACCCACTGTTGGACTTAAGGAATGCAGGCGTGTTTCAGAGCATTTTTTTTTTTTTCCTGCTAGAGACAACAGTTGTTGTCAGTTCCTAAGAATGTTGTTTTCTCCTTGGAGATAACTGACTTGGGACCCACTTCCCACCCTCTGAGCCTCTTTTCTTCCTCCTCTCTCTCCCCTGCCTCTGAAATCAGGCCTGTTTTTCTCTGTACCTTTTGTACTCTGGAAAAAGCTATGTCACAAAGCTCGTGACTCAGCCTTTAAACAACATGAATCACGAGGCTGTCAGCAAAAGCCACAGCCAAAAGCGAGCAGGGTGTGGTATGAAGCTAAGCCTGGTCACCTTAGAAAGAACCTGGGCATTTTGGTTCTCTGAAACTTCTGCCCAAAATTTGGGAAGAAATACCCCTATAAGAATCCCCCATGTTTTGTTCCTTTAAAACATTCTAGAAATAACCTTCATAAAAGCCTGGATTGGAAGTTACTGGGGTCTCCTGCTAATCTGAAAAAAAAAAAAAACCCAACATTTTTTCTTTATTAATTTTAATTTTCCAGTAACAATTCATTCTCTTTGAAAAAATGTTAAAATTTGCACAGATTAAAGTCTATTTTGAAATTTCCTCAGACCTTTTTCAAAAATACCTACATACATGGGTCAAAAAAGAAAACACATAATTTTATTTTGACACACATTTTAGGAAAGTTGAAATACTACAACGTTCATAATTTAAAACAGGAATGAATCCTTTTTTAATGCCAGAACACTTTTTAAAAAATATTTTATTTATTTGTTTGACAGACAGAGATCACAAGTGGGCAGAGAGGTGGGGGGTGGGGTGAGAAGCAGGCTCCCCGCTGAGCCCAGAGTCCGACACAGGGCTCTATACCAGAACCCTAAGATCCTGACCTGAGCTGAAGGCAGAGCCCAACCCACTGAGCCACCCAGGCACCCCTGACAGAACATTTTTAAAGCAATTTTTCCTTTTTTTTTGAAAGCTTTGAGTACGGAGATTAAAATATCTTTCTCCCCTCTATATTGTAGAAATGGGGGATATTTCTACAAGAGACCAGAAGGGGCAGTGGCTGGGAAATTGAGCACGTGAGGGAAACTTTTCACCGTAAGCTTCCAAAAGCCTCTTGTTTTTCACCATATTCATATATGTATATTTTTTCATATTCATAAATCTTTAAAACACTTAAAAAATACATTGGAGAAAGGACACCTAGAAATCACAAAATGAGAAAGATCTGGCTGGCAACCTTTTACTCTTCTTCTATCCACATTGCACTTTGCCCTAGAATGAAGTTTTCTATTTGGGATATTAGGTTGTTTTTTTTCTACCCCCCAACCACAAACGCACAGGGCTGGGATTTAATTAGGGTGTTTAAAATAGTGCACTTCTAAGCGCCCCCACTTAGGAAGATGGGACGCCTCCGTGTTTGTAGTCAAGCACAGCCTTCCCAACCCAAGTGGCGCAGATGAAACAGGAAGGCCAAAGAACAATCTAGAAAGTTCGGTCAGCTTCCAGAGGCGCCTCCAGTAGATGGGGTTTCTGTTCTCCTTTTCAGACTTGGGCTTAGGGACCGCCCCCCGCCCCCGGTCCACCCCAGGGGCGCTCTGCCCCGAGCGCGGACTAGGGGACCCAGGCCTGGCCCACCTCCAAACCCTGATCTGTCTAGTCATCCGTCCTGTCCGCGCGCCCGCGCGGGGGAGGGGGGGCATGGGCGGGTCGCCACAGCCCGGGGTGGAAGTGGGGGAGGGGACGGAGTCGGAGCGTGCCTCGGCCTGAAGACCCCTGAGCTCGCAGAGGGGCGAGGGGCGCGCGACGCCAGACCTCTCTCCGTCCAGGGCGGGTCTCGAGAGCCGCGAGGACCGTTGCGGCTGAGGGGAGGGGGCGTCGGGGTCCGGCGGGGAAGCCCGCTCCGGGCGCCCTAAATACTCCGCGCCGGGTTTTCGCTCCTTCCGAGGGCCCTTTCCCTCCCCTCCCCCGTGCCTCCGCCCCCGAGATCGAGCGCCGGCCACGTCCGTCAGCATAGCACTCAACTGACGCGCTGATCCCTCCGCGCGGGCGCCAAGGACGGCGGCCCCTTACTCAGCCGATTCAGTCTACAGCCCATCCTTGACAGGTAAACATATCTGGAGGGGCTTTTAGATGATTTGGGGGGGTGGGGCACTAGTTTTCTCTCCGGACGGCAGGAAGTGTGAGAAAAGTAGTCCCTTCTCGGCGTTTCTGCGGAGGGATCCATCGGAGCGGGGCCACCGATTACTATATAAGGAGGCGCCGGGTGTGGCGCAGGCAGTTCTTTGGAGGCCGGGAGTTCGTTTCCTGTGTTTGTGTGTGAGCTGTTGTCACAGCCGTTTGGTGAGGAGTGGGCCGCTCTGCTGCCCGGGGGTCTTGGGGCCGGGCGAGGGGAGGGGAGGCGAGAGGCCGAGCAGCGCGCTGCGGGCGGAGCGGAGGTGGAGGCGTTTAGTCTCCCGGGGCGCGGGAGCGGAGGTCTCTGAGGGGGAGGGCTGCAGTAAAATGGCGGCCGCTTCGGATCCGTGACTGGAAGAAGCGGGGCTGTGAGGCTGGGTGAGGTTGGAGGGAGAAGCCTGGGAGGGGGTATGGTCGTGAGTGGATGAGAACGCGACGGGCCCGTGAGGCCTTAACCGGGCTCCTTGCGCAGTGTGAGTGGGGGAAGCCGAACTGTGTTCCGCGGTCGCAGCGAGTGGACACTAAATGCGCGTGCCACTCCGCAGTCCTGCGCCTGTTCTCGGGGAGGGGACCCGCTCGCCGCGCCGGTCACGTGATGTCACCCCTTTGTGGGCTCACAATCCCGGTTGGGGCTGCCTGGTCCTGTGTGTGGAGCTGACTCTGGTCAGTTGCGGGACGCAAGGGTTAGGCCCGGGGAGGACCCTGCGGAATTGGCTGGGGCAGACATCAGTGAGGTGGGAGGGGAACATAAGTGAGGCCCGCGCCTTGACTTCACCGGTATTGATGCTTTTTCCTCCTCGCAGGGGACGGAAGCTTGGCTTGGGAGCTAATTTGCACTTCGGCAACCTCTCCTATTTTTCTAGTTAGCTTCTTTAGGGGACGCTTGTTTGGGGGAACGTAAGTCACTTCAGTGGTAGGATCTTGTTCACATGCGAGTTGTCTGCTACAGTCGGGGGTTCTTTGTTTCTGTTCTCTCGTGACAGACAATGCAGATCTTCGTGAAGACCCTGACGGGTAAGACCATCACCCTGGAGGTGGAGCCCAGTGACACCATCGAGAACGTCAAGGCGAAGATCCAGGACAAGGAGGGCATCCCCCCTGACCAGCAGAGGTTGATCTTTGCTGGGAAACAGCTGGAGGATGGGCGCACCCTGTCCGACTACAACATCCAGAAGGAGTCCACTCTGCACCTGGTCCTCCGCCTCAGAGGGGGCATGCAGATCTTCGTGAAGACCCTGACGGGTAAGACCATCACCCTGGAGGTGGAGCCCAGTGACACCATCGAGAATGTGAAAGGGAAGATTCAAGAGAAAGAGGGCATCCCCCCTGACCAGCAAAGGTTGATCTTTGCTGGGAAGCAGCTGGAGGATGGGCGCACCCTGTCCGACTACAACATCCAGAAGGAGTCCACTCTGCACCTGGTCCTGCGCTTGAGGGGTGGTGGCTTAAGTTCCCCCTTTTAAGCTGTTGACAAAATTCATTGCACTTTTCTTTCAATAAAGTTGTTGCATTCCAAATAGTGTGTGTTTTTTGTGGGCGTGAGAGGGGTTCTTTTTAGTTTGGATGATGAGGGTGTGAGGAGTCAAGGTTTTCTGTCTCTCAGTGATTCTAGTAACCAGAAGGTAAGAAATCTCAGCACAAAAATTTGGAGGTTGTGGTATACACAGATGTATGTGTAACAAATAGGACCATTCAAAAATAGTTTCTCAGCTTTTTAAAAGCTGTGTAATTACAGACCTCTTTTCATATCACCATATCTAGATTTACCTCATTCTTTTTAATGCTCTTGCTATTGTATTGTATGGATGCCCTGTGATTTAACCTAGGCACCAACATGTTTATAGATTTTTGCTGTTCTGTTGCAAAGTACATCCTTCTACACAGCTCCTTTGTATACTAATACTTTGAAAGTATGGCATAGGTGTGAGATTTCTGCGTAATAAGGTTCTCAGAATTAAAAATCTGTCTTAGAACTTGTTTTTACAATTGTCCCATGATATTTTTCTATTTTTAATTTTTTGAGTAGGTAACACTTCACATGTTCAAGATGCGTAAAAAGGTTAAAATAGGAGCACCTGGTTGGGTTCAATCAGTTAAGTGTCCGACTCATGAATTCAGCTGAGGTGGTGATCTCATGGTGTGGGGTCAAGCTCTGTGTCAAGTTCCCCCCAACTCAGTGGGGAGTCTGCTTGAATTTCTCTCCCCCTCTCCCTCCGCCTGCTTGCACGCTCTCAAGTCTTTAGGGGTACCTGGGTGGCTTAGTTGAGTGCCTTTGGCTCAGGTCATGATCTCAGGCTTCTGGGATCCACCCCTGCATCTGGCTCCCTGCTCAGCAGGGAGTCTGCTTTCCCCTCTCCCTCAGTCTCCCCCTCTCCCCCCTGCCCCACTTGTGCACTCTGGCTCTCTTAATTAAATAAAAATCTTTTTAAAAAAATCCTTAAGGGGCACCTGGGTGGCTCAGTGGGTTAAAGCCTCTGCCTTCAGCTCGGGTCATGATCTCAGGGTCCTGGAATTGAGCCCCACATTGGGCTCTCTGCTCAGCGGGGAGCCTGCTTCTCCCTCCCTTTCTGCCTGCCTCTCTGCCTACTTGTGATCTCTGTCAAATAAATAAAATCTTAAAAAAAATCCTTAAAAGTTTAAAATAGTATATAATGTCCTCTGTGCTGTCTTGCATCCATCCAGTTCTCCAGCCCCATCCCTGCCCCAAAAGTACTTTCAGGGTTTATGCATATGCAAGCAACCACTAATCATTAATCCCCTCCATTACAAAAGGTAGTATACTGTTCGTGGCCTGTCCTGTACCTTGCTTTTTCACTTTACATCTTTTATAGTTTTGACAAGAGTTTGAATACCTTTTCATTTTGCATAAGGGAAAAAATACCTCATGTCATTTTCTCAAGAACAAAACCACCAAACTAACACAATCCCTTGTGAGACATTTACAGCAGCCCCCCAACAAATAGAGGAACCATAGTGATAACGTGATGAATAAGAACCATTTCTGCTATTAAAGGATCTTCAGTCGATGTAATGAACAGATACTAAACGTGTTCAGTTTCACGGAGTGACTTAAATCTTCAAAGCGCTCTGAAGTTTGGTTTTGCACATGAGTTACTGCTGTGAGAGGATTCACTTACATAGATGAGTCTCGAGTAAACTAGAAAAGCGTGTAGCTTGCGTTTATTTAAAAGAGCGTTCCTACTTGTGTTTTGTCTGAAAGGACAACACTCTTGCCAAGTTACAAATATGGCCCTCCCAGAGGTATATTCTAACAGCTTGACAAAAGTGCCTTTTAATAAAGGATTAGCCACGTCAGTGTGTAGTGCTCATTTCTGCCGGAAGAGGGAGCGCCTAGGACAGGTTTTGGTTTAGACATGAGGCTTGCAGCGCTCCCAAGCGGTTATGGTTGACCAAGCAACTTGGGCTTTCACCTTCCCCACCGCCCCCCCACAGAGGCTTTTTACGGTGCCACTCGCTCTGGCCCCAATGCCTTTTACTTTCTCCTTTTCTTTCCAATCCTGCAGCTGCTTCCTGTTGGAATTACTCCACAATGTCTAATGTAGCTATTATTCAATGTAGACCCTCTATTACTGTATCTCAGCAGATACAGTATACAATTACAGATCGTTAGATCCCCTCAAAATGCTGCCTTCCCTGCTTCCCTTACCGGCTGGCCACTTACTTTTCTCCATATGGTCCCTCCCATTTTCCACCTTTCTCCATTCAAGCGGCTCCCTCTTTCTAAAATACCGCCACTCCCACCTTAAATCAAATTCTACCCAACGTCAAGACCCAATTCAAAGGTCACACTAACTAAAGTTCCTTGACTGTCCTGACTAGATACTATCTACATTCCCGAAATCTCCTAGGTCTTCCTATTTTTTTTTAAATATTTAATTAATTTATTTATTTGACAGAGAGACAGCGAGAGAGGGAACACAAGCAGGGGGAGTGGGAGAGGGAGAAACAGGCTACCCGCTGAGCAAGGAGCCTGATGTCGGACTCGATCCCTGGACTCTGGGATCATGACCTGAGCTGAAGGCAGATATTTAATGACTGAGCCACCCAGCCATTGCCCTGATTTTTTAAAAAGATTTTATTTCTTTATTTGCCAGAGAGAGCAAGCAAGCACAAGCAGGGGGAGTGGCAGGCAGGAGGGATGCAGGCAGGGGAGAAGCAGTCTCCCCAGTGAGCAAGGAGCCCAATGTGGGACTCCATCCCAAGACCCTGGGATCATGACCTGGGCTGAAGGCATACACTTAACCGACTGAGCCACCCAGGCACCTCTACAGTTTTAAAAATAATATGTGACTACCAGTTACTACCGGGGATCCTATATTTAGCAAATATAGGTATCCACTTAATTAAAATTTATTGACCCTCCCCTACTGTATCAGAATGTTTCTAGTAATAGAAAACCACCGGCCTAAATCATAGGGAAATACCAAATATTATTTATTTATTTAGTTTCACATTTTTATTTAAACTCTAGTTAGTTAACATATAGGGCAATATTGATTTCAGGAATAGAATTCAGCGATTCATCACAACACCGGGTGCTCATCATAACAAGTGGTCTCCTTAACGCCCATCCCCCACCTAGCCCATCCCCCACCCACGTCCCTCCATCAACCCTCAGTTTGTTCCTGTTGTTAAGAGTCTCTTGTGGTTTGCCTCCCTCTCTCCCTCTCTTTGTTTCCTTCCCATACGTTCATCTGTTTTGTTTCTTTTTTTAAATTTTTATTTTTTTAAAGATTTTATTTATTTGAGAGAGAGAGAGAGAATGAGAGGGGAGAAGGTCAAAGGGAGAGGCCGACTCCCCGTGGAGCAGATGCAGGTCTCCGGGATCATGACCTGAGCTGAAGGCAGTCTCTCAACCAACTGAGCCACCCAGCCGCCCCATCTGTTTTGTTTCTTAAGTTCCACCCATGAGTCAGATCATATGATATTGTCTTTCTCTGACTGACTTATTTCACTTAAGATAATACACTCTAGTTCCATCCATGCTGTTGCAAACGGCAAGATTTCATTCTTTGATGGCTGAGTCATATTCCATTGCACGTACATATCACATCTTTTTGTAAAAGATTTTATTTGAGAGAGAGTGTGTGAGTGAAGGGAGGAGCAGAGGGAGAGGGACAAGCAAATTCTGTTGCTGAGCACAGAGCTCGACCCAGGGCTCCATCTCATGCCCCTGAGTCCATGATCTGAGCTGAAACCAAGAATTGGATGCCTCACTGACTGAGCCACCCAGGTGGCCCAAAACCACATCTTTATCCATTCATCAGTCAGTGGACATTTGGGCTCTTTTCATAGTTTGAATATACGTTTTCTTTATAACAAGATACTCAGAGCTAGGGCTCTGGCCTCTTCCGTGTGGTCTTTTTTGGGGGCGTCATCAGCAAGATGGCTGAGCAGTTCCACACACCACATACAGATCTGACAATGTCCAGAGGAAGAAAGAGTGGCATCTCATTCCTGTGACTCTTGTTAGGAGCAAAGAAAAACACACACACACACACACACACACCTCTTTCCTGGAAGTCTCCACAGCTGACTTGCCTTCATTGTCCAGAACAGGGCTACATGCTCATTCATTTTATTGTTGTTGAAACTGCTGAATCTATTTTTAAATTTGTTGGTTGTTCTTACTGCTTTTCTTCCTCTTACCCTTAGAATATAGGTGTTTTTTTTTTTAAAGATTTGATTTATTTATTTTTGAGAGAGAGAGATCACAAGTAGACAGAGAGGCAGGCAGAGGGAGAGGGAGAAGCAGACTCCCGCTGAGTAGGGAGCCGATGCAGGGCTTGATTCCAAGACCCTGGGATCATGACCTGAGCCGAAGGCAGACACTTAACTAACTGAACTACCCAGGCTCCCTCTTTTTTTTTTTTTTTAAATTTTATTTATTTGTCAGAGAGAGAGAGAGAGACAGAGAGCACAAGCAGGGGAAGCAGTAGAGGGAGAAGGAGAAGCAGACTTCCCGCTGAGCAGGGAGCCTGATGTGGGGCTGGATCCCAGGACCCTAGGATCATGACCTGAGCTGAAGGCAGTCACCCAACCAACTGAGCCACCCAGGAGCCCCAAAGGTAAGATACAATATGAAATGTTTAATACTTGGTTGTGGTGTCCAAAGTAAAAATGTCTAGAGCCTTCAAAGAGCTTAAGAGGCCCTGTTCTTGTTTTTCTTTTATTAAAAAAATATTCGAGGGGCTCCTGGGTGGCTCAGTCGGTTAAGCATCTGCCTTCTGCTTAGGTCGTGATCCCAAGGTCCTGGGATCCAGCTCACATCAGGCTCCCTGCTCAGCGGGGAGCCTGCGTCTCCCTCTCCCTCTGCTCCTCCCCACTGCTCTGCTCTCTCCCCACCCCACACTCAAATAAGTAAATAAATAATCTTAATTTAAAAAAATAAAAAAATATTTGAAAACAGATTAGACATTTTCCCACCAAGCCTTCCCTGCCACAAGAGAATCCTGGAAGGTTCGGGATAAATCATTTATGGCATCCACATGGGAAG